TTTTTCAGGAGAAACATAATGCTCCTCTTTCACAACAGCAAAATAAATAAATGAAAGAAAGAAATTACTATATTTCCTAAAAAGATATTCACATTGAAATGACTAAATACTTCCTATATTGTGTACTGTACTACAAGTTGTAATTACATATGTATTTTTAAGAAGACAATCAATCTAATCTGCCTATCCATCGGAAAACCAATCAACCATTCATCCATTCATTATCCCCAGGAATAATCCCTGGCCTGAATTTGTGTTTTTCTTTCTCATGCATATTTTTATACCATAACTACATATGTAGGTCTTCATAAGCAATGTAGAGCATTGCTTGGTATTTTCTACTTTACATACATTTGCAGAGATGTGATAATATGATCTCTGGGTTTAGTTTTTTAAACATTGTTTTCCCTTTCTCCATACTTTCTCCCACCACTAATTCCATCTTTCTCAAGTTCTCGTTATATACACAAACAATGCATATATAAAGTCTGTAAAAAGTCTAAGAATATGTTTCCTTAAATACTGATTCTTTTATTTAGAATGAATAGATTCTAAGCAGGTTACGTATTATTTTTAAAATTAATAAATGTCCACGAAAAATGAATATCTTCTTCCCTATATCCTCACTTTCAAAATTAGAAGTCTTTCCAGTCTAAGTATAAAGTATTTATATAATTATTATTTTTACTTCATTTCCCTAACCACTGCTACTGATGTGGAGAATCCTTTCACACCTCAGTCTTCTATGAATTGCCTTTCTATAACTTTGCCCATTTTTCAAACTGGATTTTGTTGTCTTATCAGTTTTGAAAAAATTCTTCTTATATGATAAACAACGATGGGGTTCAGGGCATGATAACTCAAAATATGGCACCTTGGCATATTGAAAATTTTAAACCAAAGGAATTTGAGAAGTGGTACATGAAGGAAGAATTTTCTGAAGTAAATCAGAAAACCCTCTGACCTACTTAAGAAACTTCTTTTCCCCTGAAGTGGGTCTCATGTGAAAGACAGCCTCCCTATACCCAGAGGAAAGAAGACTCCTTATCTCTGAAGATGAAGGGATGAAAGGAATCTGAATGAATGGGACTTGCTATATTTCCCTCAGTTTACTAAACTTAGCTCATACCCTTTGTCCTGCAATATTTTTCCATAACTTTCCACTCTTCATCAAACCTAATATAAAAATGCTCAGTTTTAACTGTTCTTCAGGTCATTTCTTTATAAAGGCTCCTTATGTCATGTAAAACTTACATTAAATAAATTTAAATGCTTTTCTATTTTTAATCTTTCTTTTGTTATAGAGGTCCCAGCTGAGAACCTAGGAGGGTAGAGGAAAAAAATATTTTTTCCCCTATAACATCAATCCTTTTCTTATCCTCTATATTATTAATATTTCTTTTCCAAATTAATTGTTTGGAAAAAAGTTTATTAAATTTATTGCCATATATTTTTATGTATTAGACATAATATTAAGTATTTTATTATTATCTATTAATATACCATTATATATTTAACATAATTTACTATAAAATTATATTTTAATATGTAATATATTATTACATATGTAGTAATATATTACATATTAAAATATAAATATGTAAAATTACTATAATTAAAATATAAATATGTAAAATTACTATAAAATTATATTTTAATATGTAATATGTTATTACATATTAAAATATTAACTATTTTTACCATATGTTTTTAAAATTTTATAATTAGGTATTTCTACATAGTTTTGTAGACTTATGATTTCTAGTATTGATTTAAAGTTTCTTACCCTTAGATTGTGTATAACCTCTTCAATTTTACTTAGGACTTTTATTTTCAACTTTTCATATATTTTTACTTTATCTGGAAGTCGTTTTTGAATTTGATTTAAAATAGGGGTCCATTTTATTTTGTTGAAGTTTGATAGGCATTGCACCAATACCATTTATTTAAGCATGCACTATTGTCTCAATGAATTAAAATATATTTGCTTCCTTTTAAATTATTTTATAAAGTAGATCTGGATTCTCTCCTCCAGTAATCAACTTGCCTATTCTTATGCCAATATCATATTGATTTCATTACAGTGATTTTATAGTATGATCTGACATCTGGTAAAACAAGTTTCCTCTTACTTCCCCCCCACTCCCCAAAATCTTGTTACTCCCCCCAACATATATGCTTAAGATTATATTATCCAAATTAAAAAAAAAAAAAAAAAACAAGACAAAACATACATCAGTTAAGCTAATATCAATTAAGATACTTCCTGGAAGTACATTAAATGCATCTATGAGTTTTAGGAGCTGACATTTAAAAAAGCATTAGTTTGTTTTGCCCCAAAACAAATACATTTTCTCTTTTGTTCAGATCTTGTATGCTTTTCAATAAGAAGATATAGGTATTTACTATTAGAGTATATTTTAAAATTTTTATCTAACCATCTTAATAATTTTACAAGTCTTTTGAGTTTTTAAGTATTCAAATCATTATTAGAGATATTTCGACCTCTCTTTAGTGTCTTAATTACTTCTGCCAGACCTTCCTAAAACATTGATTAAAATGTTTATAGAAGTTAATCCATATTTACATCCTGATTTTGACTTAAATTGTTATAGTATTTCATTGTTTGGGGAAACAATTGAATATTTTACATTTAAGTAGTTTACTTATATTTGTTTAACTTAGAGATTTTAATAAGAATAGCTATATGATCATTGCCATGTTTACCAACCTACCATTGATTGTCTGATATGGATCCATTCCTATAGATAGTAATCTTTTAATTAAACAATGTGTAAATTAAATATACTAGTATTTCCTTTTGAATTTTGCATTTATATATTTCAGTGAGGTTGGGCTCTTTCTCTTTTTTATTTTATACTATCTCTAGCAAGAATAGGTATTGAATCTATGCTAGATTCAATGTAAAATAATTGAAAGAACTTTCTGTATTTACGATGGTCAGGACTAGTGTAAAAGGCAATACTCTTTTCTATTTTTAATAGCTCGATAACAACTGCAAATCTGGTCATGGTACATTTTCCTATGTACTTTAGTTACCTTTCTAACCTCTTTTATGTTAATGACTTATTTGAGTTTTACAATTACTGAGTCAGTTTTAATAATTTATATTTTCCTAGGACATCATTCATTTCACCTAGGTTTCATGTTACAACAGAATTGTAATTATAATATCTTATGATTAAATTATCTTGTGTCTATGGTTGGTCTTCTTTCGCAAATTTAATCATATATTTTTGTTCTCTTTTTCCCTTAACAACCAGGCTAAAAAGGAGTTTTGCTATTTTCATTTTCAAACAGTGATCACTTGGGATTTCTTTATCTTTTCTCCATTTATTTATTTATTTATTTATTTATTTATTTATTTATTTATAGATTTTTAGTTTCTTTGATTCTAGCTTTTATGTATATTAATTAATTCCTTCTTCTTGATTTATTTTATTGTTCTTTAACTTATTATGTTTGGCAAAGGATCTATTTTGTTGATGAATTAAAAATGTCTCAATAAGATTTAAGCCACAATAGTATAATTTAATAAAATGAGATTATTATATGACAGGTCAGAATACATGTCCCAGTTCTATTTCTATTACATTATGTATGCCTTCTAACAAATCATTTAATCCATCTAGCTAATAGTTTCCACATCTGTGAACTAAAGAGAGAATACAGAGCCTCGAGATTCCTGTTAGGTAAAAAATTACACCTGATAAAATTGATAACCATTTAAGCTCCATTGAGAAAGTAGGGTATTTGAAGGAATAAGATACCTTGGAACAACTGGACTAGAAATTATTGCCTTTAGAAACAGCATCTAAAAATTTTCAATTTTTTTATGATAGTGAAATATAATGAAGACCTATACCCATTCTATGAATATTAAGGTGATAATCAAGTGAACACTTAAGTTGTTTCATAAACATGAATGCCCAAGTACAAGATCTTAAGGAGGGTGCATCTAAGTAACATTGCAGAATGACAGTGAAAAGATTTGAAACAATAAAAAGTTAGTACCATGTTATTAAATCACATCCTCATATATTTCTTAAAAGAAAATAACTTGGGATCAAATGGGTTTCAGGGACTCCATGAACCCTGCAATCTTGCAAACAAAAATTTATGTGAATTTATTTGCATACTTATTGGGAGAATAAATCACACGAATAGATTTGCAAAGAGTTTGGGACCTGAGAGAGACAGAAGACAGACTATGCTGGAATTGTAATCCAACATTCTGTTTATAGTCTTTGATTAAACTTTTCTATGGTTATACTTTTACTCTCGCCAAAGAAACCTTTTCCTTATTAGACAGCTACAACTAGTAAAAACTCTAGTTTACATCAAGTCAAAATTTACCTCTGAAATTTCTTCTATTTTCTTGATTTCAATCTCTGGAGCATGAGAGAATAGAATAATTCTCATTTCTGAAAATAGTCTTTTACATAGTATTTGGAGATAGTTATCTTAGCTCCAACATATTTTTGTTTTTCAGGCTGATGGCTTTTAAACACCATAGCATAGGGACTTAACTCATTAATTCTAAATTTTCCTTAAAGGAAGATGGTTTCACCACTCATAAAGACAATATTTTACATTTTTAAGAAGTTCTAAAGTAAAAGCTCACTAATTCTGATGGAGGAATAGATAGCTCCAAATTTACTTAGGTTATTTATCAAAATGTTATTCATGGATGGATTTCAAAACATCTTCAAATTTTAGCCAAAAGTCATTTTTGTATTTATTCTTATTTTTTCAGAAATAATAAATGCAGAATATCATTATTTTCTGATAACAATAAAATGGTTAAAAAAAAAAAAAGACACATCATTTACATTAATTCTTTTAAGGAATACAGGGCAGGAAATACTTAGTGGAATGAAGTGTAACATCAGACACGGGAGAACAAATTCCAAAAGAGTAAACCAAACTCTATAAAACTCAGCACCAAAATTAAATAATTATATAAGAGTATTACTTACGGATACAATTCTGAGAGCTGTTGAGCTATTACATGAGCTGTCGGGTCTCTGTCTAAGGCATAAAGAGTAATATTTGACTCCTTCTGTAGAATGGCTCTTGTGTGTCCTCCTGAACCAAATGTCATATCTAGAAAAATCTAGCCAACACAGAAAAAAAAATTACCACAGCATGAACAAAACTTATTTTTGCTAGCTACCTTAATTACTAGCAGCACGTAATTTTCAGAGCTGATAGCAAATAGAAAAACATTTATAATTATTTAAATAGAATTCAGTTTGTTATATATGAAATCTGGATCAATTATAAATGATCAGTTTAAAAGAATTCATCAGAGTATCAGTAAAACAATAATTGCTGGCACAGACTGACCAGTTCAAGACAAATTTACATTTCACTCCATGAGGTCAAACTGGCCACAGTGTTGTGCTGCTAGCTTTTTAATGCTTTCCAACACCTGGATGGTAATGATATTTCCAACAATTTCATTTGGAGATAGCTTACAATTAGTATGGCTCACTTTTCCTCAATTTCTCTAAATGCCTTATATTAAACATACAGATATTCAAGAATACAGGGAGAGCGAGAGACTATATCTAACAATAAATAGTAAGAGGACAAATCTTTAAAAATCTAACCTGGAAAATTGACAGATTAACCAATCCGACCTGGAAGAAAAACTCCAGGCTTAAATCAAAACACCTGGAGTAAATTCTAGCTTTGCCACTAAGTAGCTATATATCTTAGGGAAAGTTACTTAAAATTCCAGTGTCTCTAGATTTCTCCAGGATTTAAAAAAAAAAAAAAAAGGGGGCATAGAAAAAAAGGAGACACCACCAATACCTACTTAATTGGTAAAGCGATACACAATTTCTCGTTTAACTAAGACACTTTTGAGAGTGAAAGATTCTCCAGTAATAATTTTGATAGGACAACAAGATACAATGTATGGAATACAATGTATCTTTACATGCTTGGATCATTCTAGATACACAATAAAGTTAATGGGACCTCAATCTACTCCTTGGATATTTTATTTGGCTACACTATAAAGAAAATAGGTCACAGCTAGGCAAGAAACCAGACCTGGACCATAAAGACACATATGTACGAACAAGTTACTTGATTGTGGCTGATTTGGAAATGAAGACACTCTCAGCACCTCCCCTCAAAGATATGCTCGTAGTTTAATGTGATTGCAAAAGTAAAAACAATTACGCCAATGATACTGAATACTATGACAAATACACTACAAGCCAGACTGTTAAAAATATTTAAACATATAACTTTTTAAAGTCCATGTGTATACTGCAGAAGAGAAATCCCTGTAATAAATTTGAACATTTCCCTGCCCTGCATGGTATAACTTATTTCAGGGAGAGTGGTCAGAAACAAGGAATAATTATGCTTTGATTTTTTGCTACTGGCTACCATGCTGCGTCTCAGCCTCTGATCAGATCCTTAGAAAATTTAGCCTGCAATTCAAAGAATAACGTGGCGAAAATCTTCTGATCAAAATTGAGAAGAGAGATGTAAAATATGAGATGTAAATGTGGTAAAAACGTACAAGCACTGCCTTTTAACATAAATGTGTTAGCATAACTTAACCTTGTACTTCTATCACTGTTAGCACAAAAGGCATAACTACACATATTTTTCATCGTTTTAAATAGCATCTTTAAAATAACACTTAAAGTCGACTTATAAGGATCTATGAGTAGGTAAAAATTTTCTACCATACCTTAACTCAGTTTTAAGATTGCTAGGGGTGTAGCATAATTTAAATAAATAACTTTTCCCAGGCAAAACTGTAAACCACTTTCTTGTTATGGCCCAACATTAAATCTTGTTATACCTCTAAATTTAAACTAAGAGTATACCAAATAAAATAATTTACATATGATTACTTTATCTCAAGCCAGGAAAGTCCCAATCAATATTTACAAGAAAAAATCCTCATCATTAAAAATATCCTAGAAAATGTGAGATGGTAATTATAATTTACATGATTATTTTTTAATATATCATGATTATGCCCTTGAAGGTATACTGACAATCAAGGATGTTTCCATAGAGGAAAAAAATTTTGTTATTATCAGTCAATACAAAACAAAAAGTGAGAGACAACAGGGGTTTATGAAACTAGAAATGAACCTCACCAAACGTCCCTAGTTAATAGCTGATTAGAGCCATCAACTTTCATTTTCAGGATTCTAATATACATTGCTCAAAATTCTAATATACATAAAATTCAAATATAATAGGGAATCACCCTGCACTACAATTCAAAAGGGAGTCAATTAGTTTTCCCCTTCTTTTGGGTCATTAACTAAACATAAGAACACTTTTTTAATTTGTACAAATTGACAATAAAATAAGGAGATTGGACAAATTTTTTTTTTTTGGCTTAACAAATGCACAAGAACAAATAAATCTGAACATTTCAAAATAATCCTTCTACGGATCTCATCTATATATACATACATATGTATAGCTTATGCTCCAAACATATCAAACTCTTTCTCTGAAATTACCTGATATAATTATCTAAAAAGCCAAGCCCATATCTGATACCAAGAGTTTATTTTGGTAATTTCACTTATCACCTGTATAACCCTGGACAGATCATTTTAACTCTCTGAGCTTCAATTGCTTCATCTAATAAATGAGGTTAAAACATACCCCTATTTACCTCACAGAGATTTATAAAGATTATCTTATTTCTTCCTTAGAACCATGAGGTAGGTGTTATTAGATTTTACATATACAGAACTGAGATTACACTAAGCTAGTAAACGACAAATGTGGGAACTGAATATAGGTGTATCTAGCTCTACTATCTGTGTTCTTCCTCACATCACTCTGACTCCACATTAAACTAATAAAGTCTATATTTGTTCAATGCTTTGTGGTTTGCCAAGCACAAATATTTTCCTACTTGGTCTAACAAAAACTCTTTAAGGAAATATAGACAAGTGGCAATTATCCACATTTTTACAAATAGAAAAGTACGGTGCAAAGAGATAATGCAAATTGATTAAGATCATATTACTGGTGAGATAAAGAGAATCTCATCAACTCTAAATTCTATGCTCTTTCTGAAGGAAATGAAGAGACAAGGGAAGGAGGGAGCAAAAGAAATATGAAAAAAAAGTGGATGGTATGACAAAGAACGATAGCAGAAATGGCTTTAACAAAATTATACAAAAAAAAAAAATTGTGTTTTTTTTGATAAATCACTCATTCCCGCTGGAATTTAGGCTCTTGAAAATGATGTCTTTCTCTTTGTGTAGCAGGATAATGACATGTGTCTTCTCTCTCTCTCTCTCTCTCTCTCTCTCTCTCTCTCCCCCCTCCCGCTTCTCTCCCTCTCTCCCTCTCTCTGCCCCACTCACTCTCCCTCTCTCCCATCCCACCCCATCTTTTTCCCTCCCTCAGTCTCCTTTTCAAGCAGGTGCCTAGGTATTTAGAGTTGTAGAATGTATGTTTCTTAAAGATTTCTGCATGACAGAAAAAGAAAACATTTTCTATCTTATCATTTGAAGTCAACTTTCCCTCTTTTAAGATTAAAAAGAAAGACGAAGCTCAGAAAGAAAGCTAGTTATCCTGGCTACAGAGAGATTTCTCTGAAACTGGGTAGAAGAAACATGGAAAAGATGGACAAGTTCCAGGAAAGTACAGGAACGATGAAGTGACTAAGAGATGATGAAATCTCCCAGCAGCTGGCTAGGTGATGAATTGAGGGAAGATGCACCTTTAATCACAGGGCTCCCAGTGCTACCAGAGATTTTTGTGCCCCTCTATAGCACAGAAGCAGCAGAACCTTTGATCCCAGAGGGTGTGCAGAAATTAGAACAACAGGCATTTGAGGGGAAACTAAGCGTGGCATGAGAGAAGTGACAAGATGCAGGGCCTCTGCATAGCTCTGGATGGTGTATGGGTTCAGGTGGATGACTGAGATTGATGGCCTTTCAGCACAGGGAGCTGGGGCTCAGAATCGAAATGAAGATGATTTAAAAAATAAACTAGCATTTGAAGGAGAAGATTCACAACTACAATTCTCCAGCATTGCCTTCAATTGAATATAGTAGCATCAGTGCACAGTGGTAGGTGCTTAGTATATATTTAGTGATGCAATATGAAAAACTGAGCTCAACCTCCCAAGGTAACTATGATAAAGATAGCAATACTCATCTGTGCATATGAATTCAGGAATACTCTTCAAGATGTAAGACCTATTACCATAGAACCACATAAAACAGTCACAAGCTGTTCAATTTTTAAGAGTCATTAAACATCAATGTATTCCTAATATTACAAATTGATTCATTAATGAACATTCTTAATAGTAGTATATCACTAGAGCACCAAGTTTTTATTTGCTGGTCAGTTCTCCTTTACATTAAAATAAGAAAATGAACCTTTATTATTTTAGGTTAGCTCTTTTAATTAAATAGAACTAAATGACATTTTATCCACATGATCTTCTAAATATGATTAGGTTCTATTTTTAATAGGATGAGTCACATCTGAGTAGATGAACTATAGCTGTGGATCTGATATGGACAGCATACAGACACAGAATTTCAGAGTTCAAAGGGACGTAACAGACTATTCCACTTCCTCATTTTACTTATGAGGAGACCAAGACTCAAAGAAGATAGCAGATAGCTCTTGGAGGGCAAAGCTAATACTGAAACACAGACCCTATGTTCTTTCCTCTTCATCTCACAATACTTGAAATTTTAAAAACACACTGAAATAAAAACAATTGTTTCTTGAAAAAGTATTTTTTTTCTTAATACGGGCATAGATACATGTGATAACTTTATATCTTTTGTAAAATTTATTTTTCAATTATAGTTGACATATAATATTATATAAGTTTCGGGTGTACAACATAGTGATATACCTTATGAAGTGATCACCACAATAAATGATCTGGCACTATACATAGTTATTACAGTATTATTGACTATATTGTCTATGCTGTATCTTATATCCCCATGACTGTTGGGAACTACGTATTTTAAGCCTCCAACGCTGTTAAAAGCAATCATTGTTCTACCATACTAAAATTTTTAAAAAGACTTTATAAAGATAAAACTGTTGAATTAAATTCCAAAGACGATTCTGTTG